AGTTCTAGCTTGTGCTTAACTCTGCTTTGCAATCAATTCCTAACATTACAAGAGCCATCTCCAGTGGAACGATATCTAAACACTATACTGTGATTTGATACTTGATGGATGTGTGAAAACCGTCATCATCAAATTTGGCACCGTTGCCGGAGAACGAACCCTGGTCTCTCAGGTGAGAGCCGAGTATCCTAACCAACTAGACTACAACGGAGGTGTTAGAGAAGTTTGGCTAACATGATGATGAATGGTTTTTGATTCACATATATTTTGATGAATGGATTTTGGTGATCTTATTTTTCTTTGAATATTGAATAGTTGTGCATAATGAAATCTCTCTTGTTCAAAGTTCTAATTTTTGTTTATGCTTCAACGCTTAACTTCTTTTGAAATTGATTGCATTTGGAATTGGGTGGTATTGCTTTTCTTTATATGATGTCTTTGTAGAGAAAAATGCCACCAAAGAAGAAGTCTGCTCCCCCTAACACAAAGAAAAGGCCAAGAATTGGGACGGGGGAGTCTAGTAAAGTACAAGAGGGGAGCACATATATTCAAGCCCAAGAGGAGGAATCCCCACATTTTGACAATAAGGAATTGGAAGAAAAGTTTGAAAACTGGAAGAAGAACGGTTTTGGAGAAGTACGATATTTGCACCCGCCCGTGCTTGAGCAATTTGGCATTAAAAACAAGGTGTTTGAGCTTGTTGAAGGCCTACCGGAGTGGGAGTATTTTTTCCTTGATTTTCGTGAGCCCACTTATGCCTTACCCACTTGGGAAATCCTTGCAACACTTTCATGCCCAAGAGAGGCTCATAAACCAAGCAAGAAGGACATCAAATTCACAGTATTTGGGAAGGAATTCCAACTTAGTGCAGATGACTTGGCTATCCACTTGGGTTTTTATACGAGAGAGGAGTTCGACGAGCATAACTCCATGAAATCGTTGACCGATGTCCCCGATCCTCCAGGCCTGCAAGCATTTTGGGACCAAATTTCTCTTCAAGGCTATGATTATGATCCAGGTATTAGCAAGCAAAGTGAACTTCCACTAGAGTTGAGGATCATCCACAATATTTTTGCCCACTCATTTACAGGCCGAAAGTCTTCTCCCGGGGTAGTGAGAAAAATTGATCTTTTATGTCTCTACAACATTGTCAACAAGGTTCCAATCCATTTGGGTGTTGTTATGGCTAGCATGTTCCACAATCACACAAACAAGGATCTAGCAACACCGTACATTGGACCTTTTGTTACGAAGCTATTAAAGAGCTTGGGTTTTGAGAAACAATTGGAGGAATTGCAGCCCATTGCACTTATGATCCCTCAATCTGAGCGCTGGCTCTTGAATTTAAAAATCTCACGCCCAATACCTGACCGTGTGCATGAGCAAGAAGTACCAGCTCCCCCCCGAAGCCGACCCATTCATGTGGCGGACTCCTATGAGCAAATGCAAGCGTTTCAGCAACAGTTGTTTGATGGACTTAGAGCGGACATGAATTCTAGATTTGATGGCTTCCAATCCACAGTGCTCCAGGAACTCCAGTCCTTACGCGCTTCCGTGGGAAATCTTGAGACTCAAGTCACAGAAATGTGGACCCAGTGGCAGGACTTCAGAGCACATCACTACCCCACTCAAGGGCCTCCGAAGCACTGACTCCCTTCTCTTTTATTTTAAATTTGCTTTACTGCACTTTTATTTTATTTTATGCTTTCTTTAGTTGGTTTTACTTAGCACATTTTGAGCCCACGTAGGTTGCATGAACCTCCTCCTACTTCCCATGAATCATTTCAGGGAACTAGCACTTCTTCATCCTCGCTTTTGGATTATTTTTGTGAATTGTTCACGCTAGAAGGATGGATTTTGTTTCTTTTATTTCTTGGTGTTACGTTCCTTGTCCTTTTGATTATTGTTTCTAACTTCTCTAACACCGGGGACGATGTTTTTGTCTAAGTGTGGGGGGTTCGCTTTGGGCTTTATTTTATTTTTTTTGCTTATTCTTGCTCTTGAGCTTTGGAAGATAATTGTTCTTTTTAGCATTTAGTTTTCTTTAGGTTGTTCTCTTCGCATTTAGTTTCCTCTTTTAGTAGTTGTTGAAATCTCCCTTTTTGCTAAAATCATTTAGGATTTCACCTTGTAGCTTCTTGTAGTTGTGATTACTCCCCTTTGTTGGTTTGTGGTTTGTCTTGGTGGAACTTGTTACAACTCAACTTGTGATTGATGAGTCAAAGTGTAACGCATGATTGATCTATTCTCTTGCCAATGACCTTGTTAACCCCTTAATAATTAAATAAATTCTTGATCTTGTGTGTTGTGCATTGCTAGTGAAGGCCACTGGGCAGTGTGCCCTGCATTTCTGGCCACGGGTGAAGCCACGCCCGTGGCCACACCCGTGGCCAGCCCTCTGCAACTTTTTGCAGCCCGTTTTTTACCCTTTTAAGAGGATTTTTCCACCCCAAAACATAATTTTCATTACATCTTTCATTTCCCTTTCATTTCTCTAGTGAGGGTTAGTTTAGAATAGCTTAGATTAGTGTAGATTTGTGTTTCCTTTCCATTTCCAAGCTCAAGAACATTGCAAATCTTGGATTTCAAGGCTTCAATAGAGAAGTTTTCTTATTCATCTCTTCTCTTTACTTTTCATCTATGCTTTCAATTTCTCTTTTAATATTGTGTATCTATTGTTATATTATGAGTAGCTAAGTGTTTTGGGACTAGGATTTGGTTTGATTTCTTGCTATTGATTCCTATTTGAGTTGTATTGCATAAAGGGGATTATTTGGGTGATCTAGGGTTGTTGTGTGAAATGGGTTTGTTGAGAAATTTGTGTATGATTGTTGGATCCCAATTATATGCTTGATTTGGAGTGTGTTTGTTGCTACGAGAGTAGAGCTTGTACACTAGCCACACATTCACACACTTAATACCCAATACGAGAGTATTTTGGGTGTTAAGGGGAATCTTTGCCTTGTGTTCTTGTTTGGGCATCGTTGGGTTGAATTGTCACGAGAGTGGAGTTCAATATGAGGTTGCAAGTCCAAATAGCTACGAGAGTGGTATTTGGACACTTTTGTGCATCTCACTTACCCTATGCCTTGATTTAATTCCCTAAACCTTAGTACAATATTTGGCATCTTAGCTTGAATCAATCAAATCCCGGTCTTTTGTTTTACTTGTTCTATTTGTTATTAGTATAATCATATCAAACCAACTCCTTACCAATAGGTCTAGCTTCTAAAAGAATAGTTCTAGCTTGTGCTTAACTCCGCTTTGCAATCAATTCCTAACATTACAAGAGCCATCTCCAGTGGAACGATATCTAAACTCTATACTGTGATTTGATACTTGATGGATGTGTGAAAACCGTCATCATCAACTAGCATAATAGGTCTACTTGAAAACACGAAGATAACAAGATGGTCGAAAGATGATTGCAGACGAAAGATGGATTGAGCAACTCTCGGATAGACATCTCTCCACAAAATGGATCTCATCATAAGTCAAAAGATAAGGACAATCTTTCGAAGATCTTCTCCGAGAAAACAAGTTTCAGATAAACTTGTAAAGACAACCTTCATTAAAAATAAAGAAAGAAGAATGTTGTCTCATGAATGCGCAATCATTCGGACAAAAGGTGTCCTAGGAATGATTTTCACAAAAGACAAGGAGCATTAATTCCATTGTGCATTAAAAGTTTCTTACAAAATTGTGCAAAGCATATATCTAAGACGAAACCTTAATTCCGTTGTGCATCGCTCCGAAATGACCAACTTTGAAAAATCGATTAGAGTCTATTCACCCCCCCCCCCCCCCTCTAGACCCTCTTTTGACCCTACCGGGACCAACAAAGTTACTGGAAATATATATATAAAAAAATTGTATATATATGTTGCAGAAATATGATTATGTAAAGATATATATTTAAAAATGAAAAATGGAATAGAATCATTTAGTATCAACAATTTATAAGGAAAATTTTGTAATTAAAGATGGAAAAGGTTTTGCAAATACGAGATGGAAATATAAGGTTTAGCCAAAATTTGAATGAATATTAATCGAGATGGAAATTAATAATTTTTACACCAAATGTTATTTTATACTAAGAATATAAGGATTGTGTAATTATAAGGTTTAGCCAAGTATGTCAACAAAAAATAAGGTTTAGCCGGGATGAAAAAATATTAATCTCAGTTATATATTTTATAAAATGTAAAGTTACTTGAAATATTTAAAAAATTCTGTATATATATGTTACTGGAAGTATAGTTATATAAAGATATATATTATATTTATAAATGGAAAAAAATGAATAGAATCGTTTAGTATCCACAATTTATAAGGAAAATTGTGTAATTAAAGATGGAAATGTTCTTACAATACGTATGAATGATTCAAAAGAAATTAATTATGACTGATTTTGTAACATATCTTTATCCAAAATCATGGGACCTCATTACAATGGGTATATATAAAGATGTGTAATTATGTATAGAATGTGTAAGGAAATTAAATATGATCCCCATATATAATTCATTGAACACTGATATTTAAAATCTCTAAAGTTTTAGCACCAGATGCGTATATCTACCCATTGACTACGGATGCGTACATTTGACTATTAATTGGACAATTATTTGATCAAATTCAAGCAATGATAACATCATAAAAATACAATCGATCCAACTCAATTCTTCAATTGCATTATATAATATTCGATGTAATAATTTATATAATTATATATCGATCCAAATATTATTAAAATATTTTAACAAATTCATTCCGTGCAACGCATAGGCGAAAATACTAGTATATATAGAATTAATTTCTTTTTGCTCTAATCCCTCATTTAATTATGAAATCTTAAATTTAGAGTCCAACAATGGTTAGTTGCATAAAATTCGCAATCAGGAGGAGAGGGAGAATACAATTTTACCTTAAATACAACTCAACTCATTCTTGAAAATCCCTAAAACTCCTGCAAACCTTCGATCAGCTTGTAGGATACGATGGGCGGCGCATCGGAGAAGACGCAACCTCTTCTTCTTCCCCAAGATATTCTCGTCGGAATCCTCTCCAAGCTCCCCGCTAAATCGCTAGTACGATTCAGGTGCGTTTCTAAATTCTTTTGCGCTCTCATAGCCGACCATGGCTTTGGCGTTCTGCATCGCAGCTTGTCCTTGACACTTCCCACTAGGGCGGGCATCCTCATCGCTATCATACAGCCAAAGCGGCTCTCCTCCCGTTCCTCCCATGTGTATTACACCATAAATTTCAGCCAAGGGCAGCCGGGAATGCTCCAAGCCAACCGTCTCGGCTACTTGGACGCTGAACCATTTCTGGAAGGCTGTCTACACTCCTCCTCGGATGGCCTGATTTGTATGTCCAGACCCAATGGAGACGTCGTTGTTTGCCAACGTTTGCACGGGACAACGTATTTCCCTTCCGACAATCCAATTCCACTTCCCCCATCCATCTTTATCCTGTGCACAGTTGGGGTTTGATTCACAATCTAAAAGATACAAGGTTTTGGATGTCAGCCTGTATGATTGATCGAGGCAGCACGCCCATCCGCTTCGAGTATAAGCATTGGGTTTTGACTGTGGGAGTGGACAATCATGGAGGGAGATCAACTACCCCTTTTCCTACCCCTTCTACCCCTTTGATGACTATGCCTGCTTTAACTTCTGCTATGATACTAGTGTCTACATTGACGGCGTTATCTATTTCTATAATTGGCTCACTAAAGTTGATTGTCCTAGCTTCCACATAGTAGCATTTGAAGTTGGGTCTGAGACTTATTTTTTGATACCATTTCCAACTGAACTATCATCATTATGGGAATATTATGTAGTTTTATCTTCAGCTTGGGAAAAAAATCACTTTCTTAACCAAAATTTTGCATTTCTACAAGTTGATGGAGGTCGACTGGCTATGGTTCGTGTTCGCCCAAGAGAATTCTACATGGATGTTTGGACTTGGGAGAAATCTAAGGAATGCTGGAGAACATTACTATGACCATTCCATTAGAAGAGGGACTTAGGAGCACATTCCTGCGTCATACTACAAATCATGATGGGGAGATTGTGTTGTTATTTATGAATAGTGAACGGCTTTCCATTTTGATTTGTAATTTGAACACTGAGGTTTGGAGACAATTTGATTTGGGTGGAGTTGAGGAATTTCCAGAAGAAGTTAGAATGTACGGGACCATGGACAATGTGTTTTCTTTGGAGTAGTTGACAAGCGTGGTCTGATATGCTTGGGAAAAATGAGTGCTTCAATTCACAGGATTAATATTTCATTTTATATATTAGTAAGGTTGTCCATTACACTACGGATATGTAACTTTGCAAGGGGCGAGGCAATCCCTTTAGTTTATTTGAAGCTAAAGGTTTGAGAAAACAATATAATGCCCATTTTTGGGATTCTTGAACTTCATGTGCAAACAATTGTTGGATTAGTATTTCTCACATGATACGAATTGAAGTATTTATTTCTCACATTATTTTTGCTAAATTATAAATCCCTATTTTTGTTGATATATATATAATATATTATTTATTTTAATTTATCGACTTATTTCCACCTACAATCGTAATTAAGGTGAAAATAAGGACCGCCTACGAATTATTAAAAAACAAAAAACCATTTTAAAAGAAAAATAATTTTTTGTTAGTATATACAGAATATCATGTTGTCAAAGTAATTTTCCAATTTTTTTATCGAATTGGCTAGATATGGAT